CCTTCCTTCCTTCCTTCCTTCCTTCCTTCCTTCCTTCCTTCCTTCCTGCCTGCCTGCCTGCCTTCCTTCCTGCCTGCCTGCCTGCCTGCCTGCCTGCCTGCCTGCCTGCCTGCCTGCCTGCCTGTCTGTCTGTCTCCCTTTTTGTTCTAGAGATATATCTCATCAATGAAAGAGGCTCGAGATCTAGTTTTTTAAAAAGTTAAAGCTGGGAATTCTGAAGAACTGGCTATTAGAAAAAAAAATTAGAAAAAAAAAAAAAGCAGATAGATTGTTATAACAAAATAACAATATAGGTGTTTAAGTTTGCTTCCAGTGGCACCTTTAAGACTAATAAAGTTGCCCTGTCCTGGATAGCTGATCTCATCAGATCTCGGAAACGAAGCAGGGCTGACCTTGGCAAGTAATTGGGAGGGAGACCTCCAAGGAATACCAGAGGCAGGTTATCAAGCCACCTCTCTGAAATGTCCAAGTCCCACTAGGGGTCGTCAGAAGTCACCATGTCTTCCAGGCATGCAAGCACACCCACACACACAAAATACCCACACTTTTTTGGTGTGTGTGTTTGTTTTTTTTAAAGACCAACAAAGTTAAATTCTGGGTATAAGCTTCCGTGTGCCTGCACACTTCTTCAGCACAGGTATCTGAAGAAGTGTGCACGCACATGAAAGCATCGAGAACTGCTCTTGAGAGAACAGCTCCGAGAGAACTTGTGACTGACCCAAGGTCACCCCAGCAGCTGCATGTGGAGAAGTGGAGAATCAAACCTGGTGTCAGGTAGCCCTGTCATAGTTCTGGAAAGTGGAGGAGTACCCTCCCTCTCGTTCTCAGTTCTATCTTGCTCAGCTGCTTTCTTATGCTTGACCTTGTAGATGTTCCAGCTGCAGTTACCACGGCTGGGAAAGTTAACGGTTTTTCTGGTATGCCCGCTTGCTTTGCCCCATGCGCGAGATATATCCATTGGCTCATGCTTACAGGGGGAATGTTTGATTTCACTATAAGTCAGAGACCCTAGTACTGATGGCCATCCCTGACACAAGCTGTACACGTGTTCTTTAGTACTGGATCCACTAATAAACAGTTCTCTTCTTATGAAGCCCTGTGTGTTGTCACCTGACTAAGGTGCCTGACACCTGGTTCTCCCAGATTAGGGTCTGCGCTCCTCACCACTACACCCAACTGGCTCTAATTGTCCCTGGTGGGGAAGGAATACCATGCCAAACCTAATTTTTGAAGACTGGGAGTGGGCAGTCTTTCAGAACCTCTTTTCCCCCCCGTAGGCTAAATTAGGTCTGCCAACCTCCAGGTGGGTAAAACAAAGGAAATAATCTGTGCTCAACAATAAACAACGACAAGCCTTAAATTATATCAAAATGTGATAAAGATATAATAAAGAGGGGACAGTCCATCCAAGTCCCTGGTGGGGAAGGAAGTCAATCTCTTCTTCTTCTTCTTCTTCTTCAAGGGCCTGACAGTAAAAGACCGCAACCCAAGCTGGTATTTGAACCCCTCCACCCTGTACAAAGGGCACGATCCTTACCTCCCAGAGGACAGAGTTCCACGCAGTGCAGGCTGGAGGGGCTGCTGGCTCAGGGTCCTCATCCGGAGAAGCTCTGGCGCAGTCCTCACAGAAAAGCTGTAAGTAGGAGTGGACGCCATGCCACTTGCCCTGTTCCACATTTCGGCCACAGCGGCAGCCACATGAGGGATCGCAGTTCATGGGCATTGGTCCTGGGGCGGGGGTGGGGGGAGGCACGCCGGACAGTTCGGGCTCTGCTAATACAAACACAGGGTATCGATCCCAATCAGGGCTTTTTTTGTAGAAAAAGCCCAGCAGGAACTCATTAGCATAACAGGCAACACCCAACACCAGAAGCTCATCAGCATATCAGGCCACACCCATGACAGTGCAGTCATTAGCATATTAGGCCACACCCCCATGCCTTCCCTTGGCTTGCCCGGGCGCCCCGATCCTTCCAGGCCCCCCCCCCCCCCCCCCCGCCTCGGAGTTGCTGGGGGGGGTCACCGCTCTCCAGGCCTTCCCTCTGTAGCCACGCACACAGAGGTTTTGGCTGCCCGTAGTGGGTGTGGCCACCTCTGAAGCCAGCCGGAACTCCGTTCCTGTGCGTTCCTGCCCAAAAATAGCCCTGATCCCAATGAAAACCAGTTTTATTAAATGGTGTGGATTGCCAGACAATATAAAGAGTTATAAACATGGCTAGCAGGGGTCATTTCCTACAGGAGCGCACAGGAGTGGAGCTCTGGCAGTAAAGAGCCCATGGGGCGGGCACATGCAACAAGCCCCACCCCCTGCTCCCAACAGCCCTCAGTCAGAGCAAGAAGCAGCCGGGTAAGTTGCAGAGTCCAAAACAGTCTAGTGGCACCTTTAAGACAAAGTTTTATTCAGGTACAAGCTCTCCCTCCTCTGCGAGGACAGATCTGCACATTCCCCC